GGGCCTGGGGCGGCAGAGGGCGCCATGACGGCGTGACGTTGCACCAGCCTGAGGCGTGCCGTGCGTTCCTCCGGGGTAGTTGTCCCTGGGTCTCGGGACTCTGGCAATGGCGAGCTGCACAGGCTCCCCGGAAGGGGGGTGTGGAGAGTGACCTGTGCTCGCACACAGGCTTCTTGGTGGCGGCAGCAGCAGCCTTAGCGTCTCCTGCCCGTCTCTGGGGTCCGCGTTTTTAGCCGCGCCTCGCGCCCGTCTCTGGAGCTCCTTTAAGCAGCGCTCTTAATCCCCTCTCCTCGCGCACCAGGAAACAAAGAGGGAAGAAAAAGTCTCTTGCCTCTCCGGCAGGTCCAGACTTTTCCCCGGACTCCCTCCCGGCTAGCCGTGGCGCACTAACCCCCTGCAGGCTGTGTTCACCCCGCCAACCCCAGTCCTCTCCCGGCGCTCCGACCGAAGCCCGAGCCTCAGCTCCCAGCCCCGCCCGCCCCGGCGGGTGAGCAGACAAGCCTCTCGGCCTGGTGAGTGCCGGTCGGCCCTGATCTTCTGTGCGGGAATCTCTCCGCTTTTCCCTCCGCACCCCTGTTGCTGTGCTCTCCTCCGCGGCTCCGAAGCCTTCCCCCCTCCGCCACCCGCAGTCTCCGCCCGCGAAGGGGCTTCCCAGTGTGTGGAAACGTTTCCTCCTTCACCGCTCCCTCCCACTGGTGCAGGTCCCGTCCCTATCCTTTTGTCTCTGTTTATTCTTTAGGCCTACCCAGGTACGTGGGGGGTTTCTTGCCTTTTGGGAGGTCTGAGGTCTTCTGCCAGCGTTCAGTAGGTGTTCTGTAGGAGTTGTTCCCCGTGTAGATGTATTTCTGGTGTATCTGTGGGGAGGAAGGTGACCTCCGCGTCTTACTCCTCCGCCATCTTCCCGGAAGCCTCCATACATTCTTGTTATAAAAATTAAAGCATTGCAATTAACCCCAAAATCTCCACTGACTGTCCCCCTCCCTCATGTGTAATTTCCCTTCCAGAGGTTGCTATTAATAGGGAATTTGTCATTGTACGTACAGTTCTCTTACTGTGAATATTCAGGGTTTATATTGTACAAGTATTTTTACTAACGTAAATGGCATCATACGCTATACGTTGTTCTGCAACTTGCTGTTCCCACTCAGTAAGACATTTTGGAGCTCTTTTTCTGTTATTATGTATAGATTCACTTCATTATTTTCAACTGTATGGAATATAGACTTAACACAATTTATTATATCACTTTTTGCTATATGATTATGTTATTTACAGCTTGTTTATGACCCTAAATTGCTGCACTCCTTGTACATGTTTTCTTTTTCTTTTCTTTTTTTTTTTTTTAAAGAAGATGTTGGGGGTAGGAGTTTATTAATTAATTAATTTATGTTTTCTGTGTTGAGTCTTCGTTTCTGTGCGAGGGCTATCTCTAGTTGTGGCAAGGGGGGGGGGCCACTCTTCATCGCGGTGCGCGGGCCTCTCACTATCATGGCCTCTCTTGTTGTGTAGCACAGGCTCCAGACGCGCAGGCTCAGTAGTTGTGGCTCATGGGCCTAGTTGCTCCGCGGCATGTGGGATCCTCCCAGACCAGGGCTCGAACCCGTGTCCCCTGCATTGGCAGGCAGATTCTCAACCACTGCACCACCAGGGAAGCCCTGTACATGCTTTCTTTTACAATAAGGGTAATGCTAAGACTGGGACCCAGTAATTGCTGGGTCACAGAGTATGTTCATTTCCAATATTAATATTTACTAACATAGGCTTTCTTGTTATGGTAGGAAAGATACCTTAGTCTCTCCTATTCTCAGTACCAGGGTAAAATAGTACATTAATTTCCTTTTATTAATGTTATACCCTAAATAGCTAATTTTGTTATTTCTCTCCTAGCGTGAATGTTTATTCTTTTAGAAATTTAATTTTCATCATAAAATTAATATATACTTATTATATGGAAAATTTGGAAAATACAAAAGAGTAGAAGGAAAACAGTAGTCACCTTATTCCCATGAGCCGTGATACTGAGTACTTAATACTGAGATAATTTCCTACGGAATTTAAAAAGTTATAATTTAGTAACAACTAATTTTAACAATCAGCTTACATTATGCTGTTTTAACAAATAAATTAACAAAGTAATAAATTATGTCTTAAATATATCAGGAATTTAGATTATTTAAATTTCTGATTGAAGAATTTAGGAAGCAAAGAACTTATGAATTTTATATGGTAGTGACAAAAACAGTATTCCACGTTTTATTAAGTTAATGTCCCGTTTTTGAATAGTGTTCTTTTTACAGAGACAAAATTATCATTACTTTTAAGACAGTTCCAAGACCTGTATGGAAATTATAATAGTAACAGGAATTATTTCAAAACTGCTTTTTAAAAGTTATTTATACTTGTATTTATCATATTTGAAATATATGTATCTTTGGAAGTTTTATGGGTTTTCATGTTTTTATGAGAATTAAAAATGTGTTTTCAACAGATAGTCTAAAACATGCAATTGGATCCCATAAGCTATGTGAAATTTAAGTGGTGTGATATAAAAATTAATAACCCATATATTATGAGCAAAATTTGTAGTGTAGTTCTCACCAAACATAAATTAAGATTTGTGTAATTTCAGTTGAACTAAAATAAACTTGTTTTTACTCCTGCCACGTGGTGGCGCCACTCTAGCTTATAACGGAAGTAACCAGACATTCATTGTTAGTCTGTCGTGTTTTACTTTTTGCTTTATGAAAATAGCTGGAAGAGATATTGGTTTCTTTAATGCTAGTATTTTTAACAGTCACTAAACATTTTAAAATTGTTTTATGTCTTTTTATATTAGCATTCATTGAGTTGGTATGAAAGCTCATGCTGAAAAATGTATGCCCAAATATATAAGTTTTTAGACAGATGTTAACTGTAATTTGGTGCCATGAAGAAAGCCCAACGACTCCTTAATACACTTTATCATTAATTTAAAGAAGAGCAATTGCTCAATATTATAGATAATACTAAGCAAATAAAGAGCATCATCAAAGCAGAAGTATGTTGCAAAGTTGTAGATATATTGGTTCTATAAACGAATTCCCCATTTTTTTCTTGTGGGAAAATTAGCTTTGAATTATATGCAAGATTGTAAGAAACATATTTCTTATAAAATGCAACTGAATCATGTTGGGGCTTATCTTAATGTTGGTCTTACAAGCAAATACTGCCGCAAGACTCCAATGCCCTCTTTTGCGTTTTCAGTAATATTAGCACTAAATGAAGGGCAAGCGATGTCAGGTAATTTGAATAGGAAACAATTATGAGAAAATGGAATTATCACAAGTTGGATCCTATAAGCATGTAAAATAATGTATGATTTGTACCTTATTCTTCATTCACATGGCTATACTGTGTAGAGTTCATCTTTTGTATAAACGATTTAGCTACTGTTGCTTAGTAATAGGTATAATAGTCATTACATAATAAAGTTCCATTAAAAGTTGAAAACATTCCTTTTAATATTGTACTCTTGTGCATATTAAATTTATCAGCCCATCAAGAGAATGGATTAACAATTCAATGTGAAAGGAGAAATACCAATGATGAAAATCAGAAGAATCAAATTGGTAAGTAAAACCCAACTCCACATATATATATATATATTTATCTATTCAACTCAAAATTGATGATTTAGTTTCAGCAAAACATCATATATTAAATTAAAATCGTTAAAGTTTTATTGGTTTTGACGTTTTGTGCATGTTTAACTTGCATTGTTTTATAGTTGGTATAAAAGCAATAATAAGCACGTGGCATTTAAACACCAATTTATGTTTCTACATGTTTAAGTAGCGTTATGTTAAAGTAACATAGTTAACACTGGGGTCTGTGAAAATTATGTGTCCTTTAGAAGAGTTGTATCTGACTCCAGTTGAGGAACATGGCTGTGGTGTTGGAAACTTTGAGTTTCCTTTTGCAGATACTTTTTTCCCTCTGTTCTCTGGCTCTACCACTGTGACCAGGGTCCATGGCAGGGAATGAAGTGGAGCCCAGATCATAGAATGCAGGTGCAGGAGGCAGGTGTTGAGGGGATTGCTGTGTGACTGTTGTACAGAGGTGGGCAACTGGGACTATGAGCTGGGGAACCATGATGTGCAAGAAGAGGAAAGCATCTTCGTTGAGCTGCGTTATGAATTTTCTACTCCATCTCTTTCTCTCTCTCTCTCACTCTCTCTCCCTTCCTCCCTCTCTCGTTTGCAAAGATCCTGTCTGAATTGCTGAAAGGCAAGCACTGTCTGTGTAAATAGTTCATGATAAAGTTCTCTGTCTTTTAGAATTTATAGGGCTCTGGGATTGTGTTCACTCTCCTTTGGTGTTTACCCCCATCTGGGAAGACCAGGTCGGTTGGATACAGAAAATGAGACTTTTGTTCATCATATCCTATAGTGTTTCTTTAGTTTCACTGTTTCCAAAAGGACTCCCAGAAGATCCAGGCTGACATTTGAGCCTTTGAGAGGAAAATTCTCTGTGTGCCCAGACTGCCATCTTCAGGAATCTCCCAAATCACAGCTCATCCACAGTCACAAGGTCACCAGTGAGCCCCCAGGGGCTTCTCTACATTTCTTTCTGCCCATATTGACTGTCTTCTGATAGCTGGGATAAGGACAAGCACTTTATTGAGTGCTGGACTGTGCTGGTCAACTTGATTAAGCAGACGACTGTTGTTCTCAGAATCCTCTTCCATGTGAAACTCTGCATTAGAGATGGCCCAAAGATGAAATTGCATAAGATTTGGAAGGTGGAAGAGAAGCAGTAATAATTCCTCTTGTTACTGAGTCCAAGCTCATACTACTCCCCATGTGACAAGCCAATAAATCGAGAGATGTGTTCCCGTGGCAAGGAATAGAGAGTTTATTCAGACAGCCAGCAGTTTGGGAAGATGATGGACTAGTGTCCCAAAGAACCATCTTCCCCAAGTTAGAATTCAGGTTTCTCTTACACTTAAAGGGGTGGCGATGGTGGTGTGGTTACTTGCTGCAAGCTTCTTGGTGCCAGAGTCCTTTGTTCTTGAGCTGTCCAGGGAGGTCCAGTCACAGTGTTCCCATAAACCTCCAACAAGACAAACGTTATTCGGTGTTCTGCAACTTTTTATCTCTGTATGAATGGAAAAGTGTTATACCTTTAAAAGTCAGCACCTTGAGAATGGGTTATACTATATATTTCAGGCTATAGGTAATATTCTTGACTTGAAGCAAAAGTAATAGAATACAAAGGTTAAAGTAAAATAAGCAGATACAATATGGAGCCAGATTTGTTCTGCACTATTACACTCTTAGACGGTCACTGTGATCAGGTACAATGATAGATACAGGGATTCCAGGCAGGTCCCACGTTGTCCTTTTTCTCCTCCATTCTATTCCAGCTAATCTTTCTGACTTTTGGTTCTGCCAACCAACAGTGACCCCAGGCCCATCATCAGATGCCTGACTGTATATCCACCGAAGAGGTAACAGCTTTCCAAACACCTCTCAATGAGTCCCTCTTCACAATCCCATTTTGATGGCTGAAAGTGCTTAGGTTCTTAGATTTTCCTTCAAGCCCCAACTCGTCCCTCTGTGCCACTGCTTCAGGCAGGCAGGTTAATGACCCCTTTTCTGATCCCCTGACTCCCTTTTCCAGAGCTTCACTTCTCCAGCTCCTCCTGTATTTGTAAGGTCTAATTCCTATAATGAATCCTTATTCCTTTATTCTATATCATTCACAGGGGTTCTGCTAACCTGGCTGACTCTAAGTGGTACAATTACTGGTCTGAAACTGATTCAGTGGAACGGAACGTTCAAGATAGGGAGTTGGTATTGATTCTCTGATTTTGCTAGGTGTAATGACCCCATTGCCACTGGTAAATGGGACACTAGTAGTCCCTAACATTAGGTGCCTATAGAAGAAAGTGCTGGGTTACCAGGTAGCTGTTGTCACTGAATAATTTAGTGGAAATAAAGAGTATAAGGACTGTGGGTTGCTTCTAAGTACCATAAAGAAATTAGGGAAAGAAAATAATGAACTTGGGGTAATACATTTTCAACCCAAGGTCCAGGCAAAGAACTAGAAATTTTCTGTGACTGCCCTGAAAGAGATATTTATTTCTCATAGCTGCAGGGTCTGATATTTCTGAAAACCCAACCAAAGACTAATCCCATGAGTAGGGGGATTACAATAACAAGTTAACTCAAACTCTCTTATTGTTAAAATTAGGGCATTGATTGACATAAAGTTAGGACCCTGAAAATTGAGATGGCAACATGTGGGCAGATTCTGATAAAACTGAGGCCCTAGGAGGCCCTCAGTCTCCTTTGCTTGTGGAAGCAGACTTTCTTCCCCTGTGTGAGGAGGTTAGTCTCCCTTTGCTTGGAGTACCTGTGATGACCCACCTATCCGGTGGGGAAATGCTGAGACTTCTCAAGACCCACCTCCAGCACTTTCATTGCTTCTATATCTGTAGCCAGACTTAAGATCTCATGGGCACAGGTACAAAATAATGAGATATTATACATGTCAAAAGAATTACAAGGTTTTTCTAATTTATATTTACATGGCCAGAAGTTTATACTGTAAATTTTTTCTCTTTCCTTCCCTCCAAAGACTTGCAACTCTTTGCCAAGATTATAGTACACTGGGGAAGGGAAATAACCAGACTTTTGGGAGATTTCTGGACACTGGCTGTGAAATGATACTAAATCTTGGAAACAAAATAAGCCACTCTTGTCTGTTTATCAGAGTAGGGGTTTATTGAGGCTGAATGGTTACTGGTATTTTGGTTCAGGTCCATCTCACAGTATATGCAGTTGGGCTCTGAACTCACCCTATGGTTATTTCCCAAGTTCTAGAATGCTTGATTGAAAGAGACACACTCAACAAATGGTAGAATCACTATACTGGTTATCTGATGAGTGAGGACAACTGGAAGATACTAGAACTGCCTCTCAATTCCAAAATAGTAAATCCAAAATAATCCTACATTCCTGGAGAAACTGTAGAGATTAATACCTCCATAAAGGACTTAAAAGACTCAGGGTTGATGATTTCCAACACATCTCCATTCAACACGTCTAATTGGCCTGAGCAGAAGACAGATGGCTCTTGAAGAATGACAAAGGGTTATTGTAAACTTAACCAGATGGTGAATACAAATGCAGCTGCTGTTCCAAATGTAGTTTCTTTGCTGGAGTAAATCCACAAATCCCTTGACATTTGATTTGGAATTTCCATATTGATATGGAAAATCATTTTTTTCTCTATATATACCTGTTAGCAGAGACTGCCTGAAGCAACTTTATTTAATTTATTATTATTAGTTTTTAAATTTGGAAGGGCCAGAAATATATTTTCAATGTTTCACCTCAGGGTTATATCAACTCTCCAACCCAGTCCGACTCTATTGCACAAAGAAATGATTGCTTCCCCATTCCACAAGACACCACATGGGTCCACTACCTCGATGGACCAGGGGAGCATGAGGTAACAAGTACGTTAGACACCTGGGTAAGACACATATATGCCAGAGGGTGGGAAATAAGTCCCAGGAAAATTTAGGGATTTACTTCTAAAATGAACTTTCTTGGGTTTCCATGGTCTGGGACAAGTTATATTTCTTCTAAGGTTAAAATCAAGTTGCTATATCTGGTCCTCCTACCATTAAGAAAGAGTCACAATACTTAGTCTGCCTCACTGGATTTTGGAGGTAACATATACCTTATTGGGTGTGTTGTTATAGCATAGACCTATTTATTGGGCAATCTGAAAGGCTTCCAATTTTGATAGGACCCAGAAAAAGTGAGGGCTCTGCAACAGGTCCAGGCTGCTATTCAGGCTTATCTGCCACTCTGGTCGTATGACCCAGACAATTCATTGGTTCTTAATGTGTCTCCTGAACCTTGGGCAGACCTCTTAGATGAATTACAGAACAGACTTTTAGGATCTGGGAGCAAAGCCATACCATACTCTGCAGATAAATATGCTCCTTTTGAGAAACAGCTCTTGGATTTTTACTCGGTCTTAGTAGACCCTAAATATTTGATCATGGACAACCAAGTTACCATGTGATCTGAAATGTCTAATATGAAGTGGGTGTTGCTTGACCCACAAAACCATAAAGTTGGGCATGCATGGGAGTGGTATATATAAGATCAGGCTTGAGCATTTCTTGAAGGTACATGTAAATGGCATGAGCAAGGGGCTCAGATTCCCATGGATCTTAAGTGTCTCATCTTTTTCAGCTTGCATCTATGGCCACATCAAGGTCAGAGGCATACTAGTCATGAGCATATAAGTATTAGTTGCAATCCTGGGGTGGGCAGAGAAGTAGACCAAGGTTGGAGCCAGAAAAACAGCAGTATTTAAAGCAGGAAGGAGAAGAGAGTTGACTGTATAGAAATCGTCATGGTGTCACTGACCACATTGTGTTCTTATATTTTATTTATGAGCCTAGCTTCCCAAGTAGACTGTGAACTCCTTGAAGGAAATAATTACAACTCATCTTTTATGTGTTTCTATTCCTAGCAACTGTCCCAATGCTTTGCACATAGGATACTCAATATATGTATATTCAAATGAATGACCAAATAATTAA